AAATATTATTTTTTTAATAATAAATTTTTAAATTTTCTTTACACTGTATATATTAATATTATTTTTGATTTCACAGAATCATCTTTAAAGGCTCAATCTGAAATGCAATCATGCAAATTAAACGAATCGGAAAGCAAACCAAATATCACATTAAAAAGTATTATCACGTTAATATAAATCGAATTTTTCTTATTTATATCAATATTATTTTATACAGTTATGTTATATATATATTAGCTTCGAAATTTCAAAATCGTCAACAATTTTCGGTTTTTCGAAAGTATTTTAACAACATTAAAAATATTTTAATGTTGTTAATATCGTTATATGTTGAAGAATATTTTGATGTTATATTTTAATGAACATTATTGCCATATTTAGAAATGGGGCAAGAATTGGATAAAGCGGAGACAAAATGTTCTACATTAAAGTCCAAATTAAATTATGTGATGGGAGTTTGTCAGAAAGTCAAATCGGAAATGAAAGGCAAAGAAAAATCTGATATTTCGCTAAAGCCAATAAAATCATCATCTGAAAACCCAAGCTTAAAATTTTCAATCGAACATAACGATTATAATAGCGAAATTATGGCAACAAATAAAATCCCAAATTATAATTTTCAAAAAATTTATAACATTGAACACAAGACTGAATATTTTGGTATAAAAGATTTTGATATAAAATATTTTGGTATAAAAGATTTTGGTACAAAATAATTTTTTCGTTAAAATCATTCAAGTTATCTAAATATCTATATTCTTGTAGATACCTTACGTTTAAATTCGATATCTGCCCAATCGTCACCTAGAGGAATTGTCGGCAATGGCGATATTACCGAGGAATCTAAAAGCTTGAAGCAACAAAAGCAAAATGAATTATTAAATGTTACAATTATACCGAAGACTCAAGTAGATAAGAAACTTCCTATCGCGATGACAACGATGCCAGTCCAGAATGAAACCCTGAAAGTAGGCGTACACGATTACGCGTATATATTATAAATCATACACACATAATATATATATATGTATATGATTGTTATAAAAATTCTCGAAATATGAATAGGCGAGTAGAGAATACGAAGATCCGCAGTCTTATTTACCGGAATACATGCGGGAACATTTGCAATCAATGCTGGGCGTAAAAGATTCTGTCGAAATACTGACATCGAAAGCGAATGAGGAGAATTATTTCCGCGAATTAATTCCACCGAATTCTGCAAAAAGAGATATTAGAGATGCGGAATTGAATTTGAACATTCCGGATACCGCGAAAATTAGACGAGCGGAGAAAAGTAAACGTGCTTCGAAAATAGAGAGAAGCGAATCAAATTCCATTTATAATAAAGCGGGTGATACATTATCTAAAATGCGAAAGAAGAAAGGAAGATTACGAAGTTCCGTTTCCAAGAGCACAGTTGCTACTAAAGATACAAGTCTCATCGGTAGAAAAGAAGCAAAGAAGCGCAGACATAGAGGTAGAATCGAATTTGCGTGATTTCTATTCAAACATTGTATTTTATAATCATCATATTAAGAATAGATTCTACATCGAATGTTGTTTAAAAAATATTTAACGCAGGCCGTAGCGTTATTCATCAACAGTCTAATCCCCCAAAGAATCCAAAAAAGTCCGCCGACGTCCTGGAAATTTTTCATAATACTACAATAAAGAGTAGTAATTCTGGAATATCTAGTAAGCATTATAAATTTGGTAAACAAACAAAGTGTGTAAAAAGACATCCTACTGAAACTGCTAATCAAAGGATCCAAGAAACATTATATCCTGAACATGCTATTGATGAATCAATTCAAATAAATAAAAATGATCAATTCAATAATAAGGAGAACGAACAGCCTAATCAGTGTCCCCAGTCACCGAGTTTTCAATGCAATTCGGGGTAATTTTTTAAAACCGTTATAATAATAATCATATCATTATTATATTATATGCATAATTATTTTGAACAATTAGTAAATATAAAATTTATTTTTTCATCATGCAAATTTATTTCTTCTACAGAGCGACTCCCGAGAAGATTCAAAAATATGATAAATCCGAAAAGCATTCCGAAGATTTCTATCCATCGGCGCATCAAAGCGCATACAAAACGCATCAAAGCGAGCATAATACTTTTAACAGATGCAACGATCCGATGTTTACTCCTAGTTACGAGATGCCGACTTTGGCATCGAGATTGAAGCGTTCGAACAAATCGTACTTCAGCAGATTTAACTTCCGAAATATACCGTTCGTAGTAGGAACTTCGGTAACACCCAGCCACAATCTCGGATTGAACATTCAACAAGTGAGTTCATCTGAAATTCATAAAAGTAGCCAAATTCATGAAACGATTTTTTGTAAAAAAAACAAAAAAAACGCAGGTATTGAGCGTAATGAAAACAAGACAGCCGATTGCGAACGATATATCTCCGTTATTGATTCATAAAGTCAGTACAGGCATGAAATCGATGTCGATTCTTCTGGAACAGAGAAATAGTCATTCGGAAAGATTGGCTCTCAATATAAGCTCGCACCTGCCTGAGACATTTAACAACGGCGAGAACTCAAATATCGATCGATATAAAAAATTATCTGTATTTGATTTACAACACGTAGAAACTCGTACGTCAAATGTATCTGACAATGCAAAAATGATTCCTGAAAAAGATAATATCATTAAACAATTTAATACAGAAAAGATTGATTCTTATGATCATAAGATTAAGCAACAATCTTCTACTGTCGTAAATCAAAGCAATACGCTAGCAAATGTGAGAAATCAGCAAAGAGTTTCAAAAATATCGTCAAATAAGGAGGTAATCACATTTTAGCAGTTTATATCAAACATATTATAATACGTTGATATTGCAGACTAGCATTGGCGATTATAAAATGCGTACAATTACTGGCGCACACAATGTCAAGGAAATACGTGATATTTTAATTAATCTACACGATCAATTTGAAGAAATGAACACGTAAGTATTGGCATATTATTATTTAAATTTAAGAATCTATTTTTTTAAAACTTAATTGTATCGATCGATATCCTTGATTTATAGCAAATATGAGAAATTGCAATCAAAAATGGAAAAGTCCAAAGATAAATCTTTAGCAAAAGAATTGTCCGCTATGGAAAAAGAACTTAATATCAAGGAGGAAGAAATCAACGCCGTTATCGGTCTTTACAAAGAAGTGAGAGCTATTATAAGTACTTAATGCATTTCACACGTACATTAACGATATATCACGAGAACAGGTAATGATGCTGAAGCAGCAAATGAAAATGTTGCACGAGAAAAACAGTCTCGTTTGCATTACGACCGAATCAGGCAAGGGTTTCCATAAGAATCCTTTTCCCATATCGATTTTACCTGGAAAGTCTCATTCGATGAATCCGACACAGATATTCGGTCGACGAAAATTTAATGCAACACGAGAGCCGCCCACTTCTATGCAACTGGCTGCATTATTACGGCAAATTCAAACCTTTCATAAGCAAATGCAACTCGTATTATAACGCTACATAGAGTTACGGTAAAAAAACATATTTTTAATAAAAGTTATTACTTTTATCAAATCGTTTGCATATATAGTAGAATGTTCGGGCCCAATAAAATTTCGATAAAAAGACGACGATATTAATTGATTTCTTCTTCCATTAGGTAATGTGAAAAAAATGCGTATTTATGGGCTACTCTTCGTACAGTTTCGCAAGGAACGATTTTTAAGGTGTTTTCTTATTTTTTGTAATAAACGAACATCTCTAGCAGATCATATTCCATTTTATTCTGCGTGCTACCCCATAATAATGTGTAATATTCATTTGTATGCATGTACAATTGTATGTGATTTATGTATGCGCAGCTCTCTTTTGCTGTGTGTGTACCTCTATACATATAATATATATATATATTACATGTATATATGTACATACATAATCAACATTTGTGTATAAACGCTGAAGATGATTATTTCTTTTTTTACGAATCTTGCTAGAGACAGATTCTTCGTCACAATTCTCACGGTCGATTGTAATTGTCAGTTGCAGCTACGTACGACGATATATCCGAGAGAAATCGATCGTTACATTATTGATTTCTTGTTTTTACTTCCCTGTCGCAAGATTCTAATCTCTCTAGATATGTTCGTCGGAGATAATGTGTGATCCGCGTGGAATATTTATATATATCGTCTTTCTCTTTTCTTTAAGTACTAATTTAACGATTCATAATCTATCCGATTCTGCTTTTCAGCTTTGCTAAATAAAATTTTCTTGCTCCTTTCTTGCATTCTGTCTCTATTCTCAAGTATTCCTGCTTCTCTCTTTCTCTCTCTCTTTCAAAGCATCTACACAGAATCACGCAATCTGTTCTTATGTGTAAAGACACTATGCGCTACAAAATGTACCTTAATTAACGTTAATATAAAATGTTATCTTAGATTTACGATAATTAATTTTTTTCTCTCTCTTTCTTACTACAGAAGGATGCGCTTATAGGTGCACCCGCGAAAAATAAAAACATTCCTTGTGTGGCATCTCGAATATAAAATCAATTTTCTTTTGTGAATGATAGTCCTTTTAGCAGTACGGGTGGAGGACGATAATCGTGAGGAAAGCGAGAAACGCATCTTATCGTGACGATAAAATGTTCTCAACGTTACCTATTTTTATTTCTGCATATGGAACAAGAAAGGAATAATTAAATAGTCTCAGATGACAGATTAATTAATCGACAAATTACCAAAGCAATATATTCTAACATTTGTTTAATATTGTAATAGTAATTTTTTTGTAATAATTTTTTAATTATTAAAATGCATCTATGATAAATCCGTTTCCTTTTTTGTATTCTTCGCTATATTTATCCTGCCTCCAACCGTTCTTTCGGAAAAAAGGACGCTGCTTTATTTAAATTATCGTCATCGCTGTAGGATCTTCTAAAGTGATCATCAATTTCAATAATTTCCTACGGAGGAAATGGCGGAAAAATCATGTTTCTTTTACCTCAATCCCTTAAAAAAATACTTTTACAAAGAAGAAAAGAAAAAAGAAATATGGAACCGAATACTCCACATACACACTTTCCCATCTTAACGCAAATATATCTCTCATTATATCACAGACTAAAAAATGCTTTGGTCTAAAAAATTTTTCATTTTCTCTCTTTTATTTTTTTGTTACCCTTTTTTAATTAGAACGGACACGCATTTTGGCATGTTCGCGATTGACTTTGTCAACGCCGATATATATCGTTATTTCCGAAAATATTAATTTTACCTGCGTGAGAAACGGAGTTGTTCACCAATTTTTGGTGTACTGTCTGATATTGAAAAATTCGATGTAGAAATAACAATACATAACGAGTGTGCAAAACATAATTTGTTGAAAGACAATTATATTAAAATTTTTATAAAATTAGTTACATGGTATTAAAAAAATTATCTAAATGTTAATTACTGTATCTTTTCTTGAAAATGTTACCGCTATTAAAAAAGAAAAAGAAAAAAAAGAAAAAGAAGTTACCGCCTCATAAAGAGTTAAAACCATCGTGGCTTTTGCGTCTCGATTACATATTGAAATTTCCGAGATGGTATTTGATTTCATTGCTATGATATATAAAACGCAAGAAATCCTTCGGTTCACGATTGCAATTTAGTAAGATTCGCAAAGCATTTCTTTTGTATTATCAGCACGCTGTAGAACTCAAGCCATTAGACTATTAGCACCCTCGAGACTCTGTGTGAAAAAATCGATCCAAGTGGAATTTTAAGGCGTTTTTGCGGTAGTCCCTTGTCGGCTGTGTATACATTGCGAACGGCCTTAAAATCGTACTTGTACAAAAATATAAACGCAAAAATCAACGAGCTTCTTTTAGTGAATATCCTTTTCTTTTTTTAATACGTTATTAAGATCGTAACATTTTATAATACTCTACAATATTACAACATGTGTGTGATATCTCTTACAAGGTACTTACATTACGAGTAACCCCACAGATTCGTTCTTTACTCTCTCAGCGTTAGATTTCAGCGATTACTTTAAGATGATAAAATAAATATAGAGTTCACTATAAACATTAGTCATTATATGAGAATATTCACTCTCTCTTCTATCATTTTTCTTATAAGTCTTATTGATACAATACTTATCATTGGTGAGATAATTCATTATATCAAATGTATTTATTTATATATATATATATATATATACATATACGAATAGCAAAAACATGATGAAATAATATCAAATAAACTCTATTTCTGCAAACAAATGTAAATATTAAGCATATAAAATTATATACTTAACTGTGAAATAAAAATGTTACTTGATATATATATTTTTCGCAAGTTGTGATACACGTCTTCCCTTCTATACATCGGAAAAATCTTGATCTCTAGATTTGCGTTAACAATTTAAAACGACAATCCATTTTTAATCTCAGGCATTATTATCTGTTCTTGCGTTCATCACTGTAAAGTTTGACACTTTAAATACAAACAAAGTTTTACAGATCTTGTGCAACAAGATATATATAAAAAATATAAGTATACTTTATATTTGTAACAAATCAATTAAAAATTTATAAACTGTAAATATATTCCAAAACAATCATCCAGTTTCTTATTAGCGTAAAAAAGTTTATTCTAATCCTGCATGCAGGATAAATAAATGGAGGACAATCAAGTAAGAATTTCCTCTCATCAATAATTAAATATGATAATAAAGTGTACCAGTGAACAAAATTTGCAATTATTTCACTACGCGATTATATCGTTACGCGCGTGATGTATTGTAATAATTTTATGTTCTAGAATCATTAGTGTTTAAAGAGTTCAAATGTGCTATTTCAATACCATGCATTTATCTGTAAACGTTCTATTACGCACTTTAACTTGTCTGTTCATGCATATTTTCAACATATCGCTTATGTTGATTAAACCAAGTGTTGTAAATAAGACATGTTATATTAATGTTGAAAATATTCGGTATTATTTTTCGAGTGTTATAACAGAATCAAAAGAAATTCAGGTCAATACGCATGAACTTACAAAAGCGAAGTAAATTCTACTTGCAAATATTACCAACTACCCCGTTTTTGCTTTAAAAATCTTTTGATTCTGGACAATAAATTCTCGTTACATTATGTTTCTGTCCTTCGCTTCAGGAAACGTTCGGTTGAACTGCTTTTTCAGGCCCTTTTCATTGTGACTTCGTGATGCAAAAATTGCAGACGGCATGAATGAGCCGTATTGTATTCATGATACAACAATTGTGTCTTGTTACAAACATTTAAAGCCCGTTCAAAGGTTTCAACAGTATTGTTTTGAATCAGATCTTTGTTCTTGTAAATTAAATACTGCGTCAAGCCTTCTTAGCTATGAGAGCTTCGATCAGTCTAAGTTTCGCCTTTGCTTGCTTGTAGGAGTCATACACGGTGGTGACTTGTGGTCCGCGATCTTCGCGTTGCATTCGACGGCCGGCTCGGGCTTCGAATTGTGCTTCTAACTCTTTTAACGCTCTGCGAAGCCGCTTCTTCTCCTCTCGAGTAGCTTGTTGTTGTATTAGTAATTCTTCCCTTAAAAAAAAAAAAAAATATATACTTATAGGATAAAGAACGCCAATAAATACAGAATAAATAAAAAAATAAATAAATAAATAAAAATAAAAATAATAAAAAATTCAAAATTTCATAAAAGTGAAATGTAAAAAAATATAAGGTTCTTAATAGCTGGCAATTTGGGAAATTTTATCTTAATTTAAACTTACTGAGGGAGAGCATGTAAACTTTCACCGGCGCCGCGACTGCCTTCACTGCTACTATGTTGACTATCGCTATCGGTTGGTAATTGATCCGTAGGATCAATACAATCCAAAATGCCTCGATGAGACATGTCAGGCTCGCTGGCTCTCCTATCAGTCTCCGCGGGATTTCCAGGCAGACTCGACGATGTAAAATCCATCGTTTCGTGTTCCAAAATCGTGGCCAATTCCGACACGCTGTCCTTATTTTTGCTCTGCAACATATGCATAAAACATATTGCTTACGATTTTCCTCTGAGACCAATTTTGGGCCATATTTAAATAATAATAGTTTTTACCGCGCCTGCTCTGATAAGAAGTCTCTTCAAGGTCCTGTATCGGTCGTATAGTGGTCGCACAACTGCTCTGTCTTCCTTAGAGACCGGCCTGCCGAAAGTGTTTTCGATATGAAGCAATGCTTTTTGCACGGCCGTCTTTTCGTCCAGTAATTGCTCGTAGTTCAGCTCCTCCATATTATCGGACCGATTGTATTTGATTCGTTTCTCGCTGAGTTTCTTCTCTGCCTCCTTCACCATCTCTTCCATTGATGTCACTCGCGATTTTTCGTGGCCATTGTTGTTGTTTATCGGACTGCCATTAGTGTTCAGTCGATTATTGGCATTGGCCAGAAGCGCACTTATCGGATCTTCCTTCAATAATTTGTGTTCCTTTCGCAACTTATTTAGCTCTGTGCAAAGCCGCTTGATGTCGCGATTACTCATTTTGTCAGAATGACTCGGCCGATAGCCGAAATTCTCCTCAAACTCATCCTCGTACTTCTTAATCTTCTTTTTCAGGCCGTTAATGTGCTTTGCCAAGTTTTTGAGTCCCATTTCTGATGGATTAGGCGTGCTGGGTTGCATCTCTTCCTCGGAATAAAATCTCCTAGGTAACAACAGCGAATTCCTTGGCGAAAGCATGGCTTCCACTCGAGCATCCGCGGCTTCTTCCTACGAAAATCCAATAGATACATATATAATATTGATATGTATAAAAAGATCCGTATATATTTATTATATAAATTGTTGATCTTTTAATTAATACATATCATTAATTTTCTGTGTACATATTTCTATACACATTCATTATTTTTAATATTTTAATTGAAATTATATTTAACTATTTATATAGATAATCTTGTGTAAATAATTGTTTAATAATTATATGTAATTTATAATTAATATTCTAATAATTACATTTCCTTCCAAATGTTGAAAGCCCCAATTAGTCAAACTGGGATTATTTACATCCTCGTGATCGATGGTGGGTGGACGAGCTGGTGAGGGTGATCTGCTGGGTCCGCTGCTCAACATCTCCAAGAAACTTTGACCTGGCGAGCCATTGTGGCTGTTAGGGCTTGGTGACACATTGGAGATATACATATTTTCAGATTCCTCTTCGTTTTCCTGACAAAAAATAAAAAAATTTTCTTTGCTTCTTATAAAAAATATTTGTGATATCTTCGGCACATTAAATGCTTAAGTATCGCAATGCTATCACCGTAACATTATTAAATCTTCTTATAATTAAGAATATCCTATACAATATTTGCAAATTCGACACGAGCATACATCGTAATTTAATTATGTCAACTTTTGAGTTTTTAGAGAATATTGATATTTACTTTACTGCAATTTATTCGCGCTGGAATTAATTTTATCGTTGAAATTACTATCAATATTTCAGTATATAGATATTATAGATAACTCGTAAAGCTAATAATATCAACATCTGTGATGAAAAAAAATTGTATTGCCGTGCCTACCTTGCTGGAACTCCGATCTGTATCCGGGACTCTGTGCACTCTTCTCCTACGCGCTTGTCTTCTGCCTCTCGGAGTGATGCTTCTGCTGAAGCGTTCGCTGCTTCTCAATCTTTCGGCGTCGCAATCATATTTCTCGGTCGCCACTACTACTTCGCACGGTGACGGCACCGATAACGATTTCTTCGACACGGGCGAAACGTTGGTTCTTTCGTGGAGCGGTAATCCGCTGCATCTCTGCGCACAAACGAGTCGATTAGCAATCGAGTTCACATTTCGTTTGCGATTAATTATTAATTTAACTCTTAAAATACTAAACTATTTTTCATCATATAAGATAACTAAAGATAACCCGTTTTAATATTTAAATTGAACAAACAATATTTTACAAAATCTTTGCAAGTTTTTTTTATGCAATTTTTATGAAGACGTGTTTGTTAATAAATGATAAATAAAAAAATTGTACTCTAAAAAATATTTCTATTATTATATATATAAATTACTCAGTAATTACAAACATGTGGACATCTTACATCTTGTTTCGTTGTGATTATACTCACCACGCCGTGACCCATGTCTTGACCGAGTTGCGATAAAATATGCAAATGTTCCTGGCTGTTAAAATCTTCGTGGCTACTCACACGTCTAATCGTATCTGCGACGTCGGTGGGGCTATCAAGAACACGTTCCTCACTATTGCTTCTGAAAAACATAGTCGCCGCATTCTATGTACAATTTTTTTTTTTGTAGATATATTATAATAGACCGGCCTGCCGAAAGTGTTTTCGATATGAAGCAATGCTTTTTGCACGGCCGTCTTTTCGTCCAGTAATTGCTCGTAGTTCAGCTCCTCCATATTATCGGACCGATTGTATTTGATTCGTTTCTCGCTGAGTTTCTTCTCTGCCTCCTTCACCATCTCTTCCATTGATGTCACTCGCGATTTTTCGTGGCCATTGTTGTTGTTTATCGGACTGCCATTAGTGTTCAGTCGATTATTGGCATTGGCCAGAAGCGCACTTATCGGATCTTCCTTCAATAATTTGTGTTCCTTTCGCAACTTATTTAGCTCTGTGCAAAGCCGCTTGATGTCGCGATTACTCATTTTGTCAGAATGACTCGGCCGATAGCCGAAATTCTCCTCAAACTCATCCTCGTACTTCTTAATCTTCTTTTTCAGGCCGTTAATGTGCTTTGCCAAGTTTTTGAGTCCCATTTCTGATGGATTAGGCGTGCTGGGTTGCATCTCTTCCTCGGAATAAAATCTCCTAGGTAACAACAGCGAATTCCTTGGCGAAAGCATGGCTTCCACTCGAGCATCCGCGGCTTCTTCCTACGAAAATCCAATAGATACATATATAATATTGATATGTATAAAAAGATCCGTATATATTTATTATATAAATTGTTGATCTTTTAATTAATACATATCATTAATTTTCTGTGTACATATTTCTATACACATTCATTATTTTTAATATTTTAATTGAAATTATATTTAACTATTTATATAGATAATCTTGTGTAAATAATTGTTTAATAATTATATGTAATTTATAATTAATATTCTAATAATTACATTTCCTTCCAAATGTTGAAAGCCCCAATTAGTCAAACTGGGATTATTTACATCCTCGTGATCGATGGTGGGTGGACGAGCTGGTGAGGGTGATCTGCTGGGTCCGCTGCTCAACATCTCCAAGAAACTTTGACCTGGCGAGCCATTGTGGCTGTTAGGGCTTGGTGACACATTGGAGATATACATATTTTCAGATTCCTCTTCGTTTTCCTGACAAAAAATAAAAAAATTTTCTTTGCTTCTTATAAAAAATATTTGTGATATCTTCGGCACATTAAATGCTTAAGTATCGCAATGCTATCACCGTAACATTATTAAATCTTCTTATAATTAAGAATATCCTATACAATATTTGCAAATTCGACACGAGCATACATCGTAATTTAATTATGTCAACTTTTGAGTTTTTAGAGAATATTGATATTTACTTTACTGCAATTTATTCGCGCTGGAATTAATTTTATCGTTGAAATTACTATCAATATTTCAGTATATAGATATTATAGATAACTCGTAAAGCTAATAATATCAACATCTGTGATGAAAAAAAATTGTATTGCCGTGCCTACCTTGCTGGAACTCCGATCTGTATCCGGGACTCTGTGCACTCTTCTCCTACGCGCTTGTCTTCTGCCTCTCGGAGTGATGCTTCTGCTGAAGCGTTCGCTGCTTCTCAATCTTTCGGCGTCGCAATCATATTTCTCGGTCGCCACTACTACTTCGCACGGTGACGGCACCGATAACGATTTCTTCGACACGGGCGAAACGTTGGTTCTTTCGTGGAGCGGTAATCCGCTGCATCTCTGCGCACAAACGAGTCGATTAGCAATCGAGTTCACATTTCGTTTGCGATTAATTATTAATTTAACTCTTAAAATACTAAACTATTTTTCATCATATAAGATAACTAAAGATAACCCGTTTTAATATTTAAATTGAACAAACAATATTTTACAAAATCTTTGCAAGTTTTTTTTATGCAATTTTTATGAAGACGTGTTTGTTAATAAATGATAAATAAAAAAATTGTACTCTAAAAAATATTTCTATTATTATATATATAAATTACTCAGTAATTACAAACATGTGGACATCTTACATCTTGTTTCGTTGTGATTATACTCACCACGCCGTGACCCATGTCTTGACCGAGTTGCGATAAAATATGCAAATGTTCCTGGCTGTTAAAATCTTCGTGGCTACTCACACGTCTAATCGTATCTGCGACGTCGGTGGGGCTATCAAGAACACGTTCCTCACTATTGCTTCTGAAAAACATAGTCGCCGCATTCTATGTACAATTTTTTTTTTTGTAGATATATTATAATGCAATGTTATAAGAAATAATCTATAAAATAATGTTAAATTAGATCGTGTAAAAATATTCCTGCATCTTTACAAAATAATATTTTTTTTTCGAATATTATAAGAGGATTTATATTTAATGTTTATTATTCATACACTAATGCAAGTTTAATGAATGAGAAAAATCAAAACTATGTGAAATTTGGAATATTTTACCGGTAATCTTTTGCTGTACGCAGCAAATATTTAATAAATACATAACAAGTTAATATATTCTAAAAAATCAATAATTTAAATTGCAAAATTAAATATTCTAATAATAGAATTATGACATGCAATAATATTCTTACATGCAATTTATTTGATCGACAAATAATAATTTGAACACTTGATTTATTAAAATATAATTAACATTTCGATAAGATCAAAATTTGTATCAAAATTTATTATGTAATTATTAAAATTCAATGATACCTTATCAGCTTTCGTTCCTGGCAGCAGGATTCGCGACGTTCCTTACGCTTACGCGGTTTCAGCGCGCAAAGCAAAGATGAACCCTCGGAGTCTTTCGATTCGTCCTTCGTATCTTTGCAGATCTTGCAGTCGCCGGCAGTTATCACACCGTTCACTGTATTCTCACGGTTACTGAAGCCATACAGGGACAGAAAAGAAAAAAAGAAAATTAGGTCAAATCGTAGAAACGAAGCACGACGGTCTTGACGTGTCAACCTTCAAATTTAATCGACGACTATGATTCAGTCGGTCGTGTAAAAGCGCAATTCGCGGATACGAGCGAAATTACGAGCGAGACGTTGAGCGATTAATATACATAGTAAAATCACACAAATGCGGAAAAGATTCGCGAGCAATTTCTCGCGGTGATTAAAATGACATAATAAATCATATTTGTTCCCTTATCAGTACGTATCGTGACTTTTCTGCATAGCTAAAATATTGCGGAAGGCATTTCTGTTTTTCTTTCAGAGATGCATCCGCTAATGTCAAACGGATGAAGTAATTCATCACATCTGTTGTAATATGACATGCGCATAACAAGATTCGAAAAATGTGTTGTAACAAGATGATCATCAACAAAACACAGAGAATAATGTGAGACATGTACCGTAATTAGAATGATGTGGTAGGTGAACGCGTTTGTTTTGCATTCGATCGAACAAGAATGAACGTAGTAATTGCGAAACGACTCAAGTGTGAAGCTTCAATGGAAACAAACCATTATTGCGCATTTTTTTATTATTCTGAAATTTATGAACTGATTTCAACCAGTTCATAAAGAGTTTATTCGCGTGCGTAGAAAAATATCGGATCTGTTCTTGCGATGTTATCGCTATAATAACGTATCGCGGAATGCCTAATTGCAGTTTCGAGTGTGCAAAGGGTAGTTTCTTAAGAAATAGTTTTCTCATTATAAGAAAAGAAACGCGCGCGATTAATTGTATGCTATTAAATCATAATGCCGCCGATAAAAATCATATTTCGTTCTATAAAATATATGTAACAGGGAGTTATTAAATTGTTCTAATTAGATGAAGCAAACACAAGTCGCGTGATCTGAAAATCTTTATGATATTTATTCTGTTCGCAATCAATTGTATATTTAAAATTAAATATCTCATTTAATATTAATTATTGTGTGTAAAAAACATATATAAAATATATTTCGCTTTAATGCAATTAATTTTTTATTCCAGTTTATATAGACATTTCTCTGTGATAAGAAACTGTATAGAATATACACACTTGTTTTATTGCACCTTTAATTCAGACATTCTTTTTCCAGAGGAAAAAAGCCTCATGCTTTATAAAAGTCAAAAGCTTTATAAAAGTAAGTTTTCTCTCGCGCACAGAAAGTATTATCGCTGTCAGCAAGATCACGTTACCATCTTGAAGATATAGTCAGAATTTAAGTTCATATCTCGTAACTGTAATCCTGCCACGTAATTATTTTTTCCCTTATGTGCAAAATTAAATTTGTTTGCCTCAGTTTGCAATCATTTTCTTTCATTATAAATGGCAATCGATGGTAAAAATATTAACTTTTACTACATGATAGTATTTTAATTCTGCGATAATAAGTTTCTTTACTCTGCTAATTCAGGTTGTCCTCGACGCCTGATTTGATCTTATGTCACGAATCGTGACCCGAGTAGTGGCGCATAAATGAATCACGAGGCGTAAATACTTTCATTATGAGTCAGCAGACCGCGTGATAGCGCTCCTCTTCGTGCAAAAACAAAGCTTGCGGAAATAAAAGCGTGATGCAACGGCGTATGCTCCAATCTTTGTCGATCTTTCCGATCAAAAAAAAAAAAAAGCTCGTATTAATCTCGATGAAAACATAGATCAAAAAATTATATATTTCGTAAGTTTTTACGTAATTTTCTCTTAAAATCTTTTCCATTTTTACGTTCACTTTAATAATTCAATAATTTTTAAGAATATCAATTAATTACTTTAGGCAAATTAAAAGATCTCTACAATTATCAAAAAATAATGTTATAATAATGCTACTAATAAAATAAGAATCTTTTATATATATTTACAAATGTTCGTATTAATTTACATCATAAAAAAAAATTGTTACAAAGTAATATATTGCAACAGATAACATAAAAGAAATCTTCTTGACAAAATAATATTTAATTAATTGCTAATTATATGAAAAATTTTATGAATAAGTTTTTTGGGACATCAACAATTACAATTCTGTTCAATTTCAATTGTCTTCTCAATAGACAACGTTTATTTAACGCTCATAAGTGTTAAAGAGATATTTATAGCAATACGTAAATGTTGAGATAAAATCTATTATGAAGTGTGCACTATGACTAACAGAAATAGAAAATCTTAATCAAACACTACATACACACATGTATCAGCCGGACTCGACTTCCTCAATTAAAAACGCCAAGACGAGAATCGTTGAGTCTCGCTTTTACATTAGGCTCTAGATATGTATAATTCATCGTACATATATATTATTTGTACGCGAGATCTATCAAGCGTTTGGAAAATTCCGACGATACGTGATGCTGTTACGCCATTGGTCGTTGCATCGCATTTTCTGTGATTGTGGATCGTACGAAAAGTTAATTGCAGGAATATCAATGCAAGGCGAGCCAATTATACCGCTGTCCTCGACGGTAACGCGCCATTAATTGCTGGACAATTAATCTTTAATGAGGCACACCTAATTTAGTCGGTACTCGCAAACGCTGTTAGCTTGAACATTTACGCAAAAATGAATAGATATGATAATGTCACTAGAAAGCGATAGCAATCTTACACAAATGATAACTTGTAGATAAATAAAAAAAAAAAAAAATTATCATTACAATCGAGAAATTGACATTACTCGCGAGTAGAAATTACTATATTAATATAGAGCTTTCTTTCTTTTTTTATCTTCTTGCTTTCTCTACAAAATATCAAAAATAATTTAAGCCAATTATAAATTATTATCGTATTTTTTTTCGGCGGCAACATCCGCGTAAAAAATCCTGATGACAACATTTCTTATCTTGCTAAGTCCTTCAGCCCTTCGCGACGAAACAAGTTCATTACTCTTTACTCTTCTTTATTCTTCTTCGAAATGGATGTACGGGACTGATTATCGATCAGTAGATCGTGTCATGATTGGCATGTGGTATTCTTCCGATCACGAGAAGATA